CGGGGACGGTGGGGGCAGCAGCGCGGATTTGGAGGGAGGCGGCAGGGCCGGGCGACGAGGGGCTTCGCTGGCCGGCTGAGGCTGAAGGTCGGGCTCCTCCCTGTGCAGTCCGCTCTGCGGGACGCTGCTGCGGAACCAAGACCAAGAGGGTAGAAGCTTCAGGCGGCCTCCCCTCCTAGACCCTCAGCTCGGGACAGGGGTTGGCGGTGGGGCATGCGGGGAAGGCTTGGGGTGACATGGGCCAGACCACCACCCCCTCCCCGAAAAGAGGAAGGCACAGCCAGGGCAGGTGCGGTGCTGGGGAGAGGCGGCGGCTCAGGCACCGGGAGATGGGGCTAGTGACTGGGTCCAGGTAGGACTCAGCCCCAGGCGCTCGGGCCAGCCCCTCCCCCCAGCCCTGGAAGCTGGGGAACAGCGGAAACAAAACGGAGCGGTGGGAGAGAAAAGAATGCGGTTTAGGACCCAAAGGATGACGTGGTGAGGGAAGGCAGAAGGGGTGCACCGGGAGGGGCCCTCTCAGGAATGCAGCCTCCCACCCATTCCTGCCCGCAGCTGCCCCCCACAGTCCTGCCCATCCTCCGCAGGACATGGCGCCTTCACAGCGGCCCCAGAAGAACAGGCACCAGCCTTTCAGCCTTCCTTCCAGGAGCAACGCTCCATCCCTGGGGTTACCTAACACCAGCTCTGACCTGAGTCCAGTACTGAGAGGACACAGCAGGTGGTAGCAGGGGTCCCTAGGGTAGGAGACTAGGATGCCCAGGTTCCCATTCCATTTCATCAGTCTGCCCCCAGTGCAGGCCTTTGACTTTGTCCTGCCCCTGGGGACGTTACCTGAGTCCTTGGAACTCCCTGGAGAAGCACAGAGGCTCCCCAAAGGGGTGTGCTCAGAAATAACTCAGTTCAGAAATAACTACTGCGTGGGCCCGAGTTGGGAGTGCGGGCGAAGAGGAGACGGGAAGGAGCTGGTCAGCCCAGAGTACACCTCTCACCTACAGAGCTTTGAGGTCCAAGAGCTAGGCCTCAGTTTCCCCCACCTGGACCCTTGCTAAACATAAAGATTAATAAGAAAGGGAATCTGAGATGTTAGCATCTCACCTGACACATTAGAGAGCTGAATACAAAGTATGAAATGACTCACTGAGTACTTATTGTGTGCCAGGCATGTGCTAGATGCTTTAAATGCACTGAGTCATTTAATCCTGACAACAACCCTTTCAGATGGGAACTGTTACAGGTCCATTTACAGATGAAGAAACTGAGGCTTATAGAGGTAAATGTGCCTTAGCAGGGTGAGACTGCTAGGAAATGGTGCTAGGATGGAAAGCCAGCGAAGTCTGACCTCTGAGCCCTTGCTCCCTCCAAAATGTCTGGGATTCTGGGGGCACAGAAGGAAGGAGAAATAGGGTACCAGCCACAAGCATAAATTATAAGGATGTTTTAGA